GGGCACTTTTCCCCATACTGTTCTTGTGGTAGTGAACAAGCCTCATGAGATTGATGGTTTTATAAGTGGAATCTCCTTTTGCTTGCTTCTCAATTCTCTCCTCTGTTGCCATGGAAGACATGCCTTTTGTCTTCTGCCACGATTGTGAGGTCTCTCCCTAGCCACGGGGAAGTGTGAGTCCATTAAACCTCTTTTTCTTTATAAATGACCCAGTCTTGGGTGTCTTTATCTGCAGTGTGAAAATGGACTAATACACATAGAGAAGAATACATTAAAACAGTTCGTCTTCTGTTTGAGGATTAGTGATATGTTATACAATTTTACAAATTCGCAGAACATTGCACATTTACGGAACAGGTAAACCCAGTAAGTCAAACATAGCTTGTGAAATATAGTCCAAGACCAATTTAAATTTATCATCACCATCATCATCATTTTTATGAGAGGCATATTTGCTAGTTCATTTTGTTCCAGCAATGCTGACAATAGAAGCCACTTATAAAATTGTTCCTGAGAGTACCTACTTAATGAAGACTTAGATTTTCCTTCTTTTATTTGGCTAAAATATTCTAAATAAGAAGGATGTGCTTCTCTCCTTTCCAGGCACACACTCATTTAAATTCTCATGCTTGTTGAATATTTCCTTCGACAGGACTTCAGTTTTCTATAACTGGAATGTTTGTTTGTTTAGACCAGCTTATCTTTCTACAGAACTCACATATAGATGATTTGCTTTGTTTCGTTTTCCCACAGAGTTGCTGAGAAGCATGTTTTATCTTTTTCATATGACCACATCAATAGCAGTTCCTCAGGATTTCCTTCCTTTCTGAGTTTTCCTGGATTCTTCTAAAATAGTTGTTCTCAAAGTGTGGTCCCTGGACCAGCAGCAAGACCACCACCTGAGACCTTGTTTAAAATACAATTTCCAGACCGACTGACGCCAAAATTCTAGGGGCGGGGTCCAGTAATCTGAGTTTAAACAAGGCCTCCAGGTGTGTCGAATGTTACCAACCTTTGAGAACAACTCTAAACCAGAGGATCTCAACCTTGCTCATGCGGTAGAATTACCTGGGGAGCCTTAAAGAAATATTGATGCCTGGTCTTCACCCCAGAAATTCAGAATTAATTAGTCTCAGGTGAGGCCAGAGAATTGGGGCTTTTACTAGTTCCCCAGGTGATTATAAAGTGCAGCCAAGGTTGAGAACTGCTGCCCTAAATCATTTTCACTTCACATCATATTTGCCAACACCAGGTTCTTTTTTTTCTTTCCCTAAGGAGCGGTGCCGTATGAGCAGACAGCGAGGCTGCGGTGAATTAAGTATTACCTTGTTGTGAGTGGATTTAGATATTAAATGAAATGTGATACTGCATCTTAGCATTTCCTTTGGTTTTGTTTATCATACATGATGAGCCTTTGAACTTGAAGCTGAATCAATTTAATGCAGTGTTTCCTTTTGAATCTGATGGATTTTGTGTGTTTCAGGGTGACATGCAAAAGGAACATCTAAATGCTCTTCCTGTGATCTTTGGGGAAAGCGCCCAAGTAGAGTGTCCACAGTACATTACCCATGTAAAGTGAGTTTAATCAGACGGAATTGATTTGTTTAAGTTACACTTACATGTACAAAAAGAAATGTTCTGGACTAAATAAATTCAGTATGAAAATTGCCTTCACACTTCATACCTTACCAATTTTTATCACCATATATGCTACCAGTTAGATGCTACTTGGGAAAGAAAATGTGATCCTTTAGCTAGCAAATGAGGAGAGACTGTAAGCAGTAACTTCTTCTTTGTTTCAGTGAAGAGGAATATCTTAGGAGCCTTCCCAGACACAGATTAGAAGCACTCCCAACTCATTTTATAATAGACAATGAATCATTTCCTCCACACTCAGTCAAGTGTTTACATCTTGCCTTCGTCACACAAATACTAGCCAGTGACATACTACTTTTTGTCTTCGATATTATTTTATGTATGGAGAGAGCTTGGGGGTGACTGTCCTTTGTGATTCAGATTTGATGCTGGGAGATCCATAGTTGTCTTTTGAAACTGGGCATCCCTAGATGTCATCTGGTTGAGAAGATTCTAAAATATTCAAGGCCAAGTGATAGCACCTCACCAGCAGAAGCTAGATGGACATATTCACTGTCACATGCAGCAAAGCCAGGATGGCTCCTGGGGTCTGGACTCACAGAGCTCTGTGGTGATGGCTAACAGTCTATAGTGTCCAGGGTGTGAGGATGATGGACCAGCAGCAAGGGGATGAATTGATTTTATAAGAGAAATAGGAAATCAAGAACAAGGAAGCAGAGGGCAGATATCAACTGTTGCAACTTGAAAATCATGACCTCTTCCTCTGATTCCAGAACTGAGAAAATTCTCAAACCCAGAGCCCTCTGTTGAAGGAGAATCCGAGACCCCAAAGGAAGAGCCCTGATATGTGACAGAAAGCATGTAGAGTACAAGTGCACTTCCCAGTCCTTCCCTAAGGCTATTTAGCAGAATAACCTAGGGAGAACTTTGATAGAAGATGTAAGAGTTCTTCTGCATAGTTTATGTAACCTGATACACGCAAAGGTTTTATAACTATAAATAGTGGATTTAATGATTAATTTTACGTCAACTTGGCTAGGATATGGTGACTGGTTGTTTGGTCAAATACTAGCCTAAATGTTGCTCTGAACATATATTCTATATTAAATTACCACATTTACAATTAGTTGACTTGAAGTAAAACATATTACTTCCCGCAATTTGAGAGTGTCTTATCCAATCAACTGAGTCCTTAAGAGCAAAAACTGGGTTTCCTGAGGAACAGGAAATTCTGTGTTGTAGAAATTTGACTTGAATTTTGGGGCTGCCCTACACATTTTGACTTGCCAGCCCCACCATTGCGTGTGTGTGTCAGTTCCTTAAAATCTATCTGTCCTCTTACCTATTTATCTGTTCATCAACCCACCCATCCATCGATCCATCCAACCATCCACACTACTGGTTCTGAACAATTTTGACTAATTCAGTAGATAAAAATCTAGATGGGGGAATGGTGGTAGAGCACTACATGATTCTGAAGCTAGGCCATCTAATTTTTTTTTTTTTTTTTTGAGACAGAGTCTTGCTCTGTAGCCCAGGTTGAAGTGCAGTGGCTCGATCTTGGCTCATTGCAAACTCTGCCTCCTGGGTTCAAGCAATTCTCCTGCCTCAGCCTCCCAAGTAGCTTGGACTACAGGCACCCACACCACACCTGGCTAATTTTTGTATTTTTAGTAGAGATGGGGTTTCACTATGTTGGCCAGTCTGGTCTCAAACTCCCAAACCTCATGATCCACCTGCCGCGGCTTCCCAAAGTGCTGGGATTACAGGTGTGAACTACTGCACCTGGCCCTGGCCATGTAATTTAATAAGCAACTACTAACATGCTACTGGCCCCTAAGAGAAAATGAAGGCTCAACCAGGCAACATGAATCAGTGATGCCACCTGAGAAATTCAACATGAGCTGGTATTGGCATAACCCTAAGTCATAAGGTGAAGTAGGCACAACAGTGATTCACTATGCAGTGGAAATGATTCATTCACAATTGGTTTCAAGCAGGTCCTGAGAGTTTACAGAAGTTACAGAAACAAGTGGCTTAGACTCCACATCTGATGTCACACCAATGTCTTACCTCAGTTTACATCATTGCAGCTGATAGACAGGTGAGCCTGTTTGTTAATACAAGAGAATACATAACTGCTATTGCACTAATGACCTATCAGGGGTGCCCTTGAAACGTGGTGATTAGGGAAAATCTTCTCAGTAGCAATGCTTCGAGTAGTACGTCTGGTCATGTGTTTTGTTCGGAAGGAGAAGTCATCCAAGGTAGGAATCCACATGGACTCCTAGGCAGTGGTGAATGGCTTGGAGAGGAGAGAGGAGCAGAGTTATGCAGATGGACCTAGGAAATGGACACAAAGTGTGCAGAACTCTGTATTGCATGGCAGTGGCCACCAAAGAACACCTATTCCCAAGAAGAGGCTGGAAACCAGCTGAACAAGACGTCTCATTTGGGTGCCTCTGCTCTTACTGCCCCTGTGTTTGTCCATAAACAGGAGTCATACTGGCTGTGATGGAAGCATGCATGGCCTAATTGCCATCAACTGCATCTCACCGAGTTTATTCTAGCTGCCACTGCTGCTGAAAGACCTACCCCTACGATCTCTCAGGGAGACCATCTGGCCACTTGGTGACAAGCTGCGAACATTAGACACCAACCACCTTCCTGTGATTCATCCTTATTGAGAATGACCCATATCTTGAGTATGGCTTTGTCTCCCTTGACTGCAGTGACTGAGCCACATTGTCGGAGAGCTCAAGGCATCCACTGTACAGCAAAGGAGGTGTGGAAGTGGACATATGACCCTAGGGCCCACTGGTCTTCCCATAAATGACTCCCAGGAAGCTGACACACGAGTAGAGCAATGAAGAAATCTTCTTAAAGTCACAGCTAAGCCACAGTATGGAGATGACACACTGTGAGCTGGAGTTCTGTCCCCCAAGATGCTGTTACATGGTGCTGTGACACTGACACTTAAAAACACGCATCTGGGGATGGGCTTGGTGGCTCATGCTTGTAATCCCAACACTTTGGGAAGCTGAGGTGGCAGGATCATGAAGTCAGGAGATCAAGACCATCCTGGCCAACATGGTGAAATCACATCGCTACTAAAATACAAAAAGTTAGCCAGGCATGGTGGTGTGCGCTTATAGTCCCAGCTATTCAGGAGGCTGAGGCAGGAGAACTGCTTGAACTCAGGAGGCAGAGGTTGCAGTGAGCCAAGATCATGCCACTGCACTCCAGCCTGGGCAACAGAGCAAGACTCTATATCAGAAACAAACAAAAAATATGCATCTGGGAACGAAGGAAGGAAACAGATGATCCTCTCTCTATTAATCCTAATCAAGTCACTTGGAGACTGTTTCTGGATTACAGATCCTAGTTCCTGGTGGGAGGGGCATTCTTCCTTCAGGGGACACAGAAAGGGTTCCACCAAACCCAAATCAATTACCATAGGGCCATCTGGGGTTCTCATGACAACTGTCCAGGGACCAAAAAAAATAAAACAAAAAACAATTACTATATTGACAGGAGGAATTGAGGCTGATTATCATGAAGATAGAGGATCACTCCTATAGGGTAGGGGCAGAGAGAAGGAAGTCCAGAATTCATGGGAGCTGCTGGAACACCTCCTGCTGCTTTCATGCCTGGTGACAGCTGGGAATGGTCAGTTGAAACAACCACAGCCAGAAGCCCATGACGCCCAGGGGATCAGATTCCTCTGAAATAAATGTCTGGGTCATCTCACCAGACAGGTAACCTAGACCAGCAGGAGCAGCGCTGAAGGTTGGAGCAAATTGGAATGGGTAGTAGAGGAGGAAGATGAGGAATATCAAGTGCTGCCTCTCGGTGCCATAGCTTATCCCACGAAACTGTCTCCAGCCATACAAATGTATGGTTTTACTTTTGTTTGTCTATTTTTTCGAAGTTGTGTGTGGCTACTACTTTGAAGCAGCAGAGACGGACATCAGGACAGCATGAACTTAACATGGAGCACGGGATTTGCAAATCAATAAACGGACACTCTGGAAAATGAACAACAATAAAGTTATTATATAATTACATATAAAAAACTGAAATGCTGTATAAAAATATAAAGTAAAATGAAAAAATAAAATTTGTCTTTAAAAATATGTAATTCATTTTCCTTTTGTTTCAAAATACAATAAAGTGAAATTGAGAGGTGACCTTGTTCACTATTCAGAAAAGTCTAAATATCACACATTCTGATATGCAAGAAGCTATGAGTCCTTACAGGACTCTATGTCTTACTGCTTAATAATGCTGATGATTAAAAGGAAGTTTCATCCGATCTTCAATCTCAGACTCTATCTAAATTCCTCCTGTTATGAGCCAAAGTGGCTTAACAGTTGATCAGTATTCATTTTATTTTCACTCTGTTTGTACACTGTTTAAATTAAACTGTCTTCTGTCATCTCCAGTAAGTCATCTTAATTATTAAGCAAAAATGAAAAGACAGTCGATTTTTGTTCTGGGATTTTTGTTATTAAAAATTGCCCCAAGTCCGTGTTTCTATTTCTTATGTAGACTTTTTTGGTGCTGAGAACCTAGGATTTATTTTAAATAGTTCTTAAAATCTTGCAGATACTTCTTTCTGAACCCACTGCTCTTGGTGTATTCTCTCTCCTCAATTATGATAGCAACCCAATAGTTGGTTTTATTGTTTAGAGTCATCTCTGTCTCAAAGCCAGCATTCATCCAGAGTACACTCTTATGTAACTAGAAATCTGCAGGTGCTAGCTTCATGCTATAAACTTTCAGGGATTCCCACCATGCTGTAAATTCCTCTGTGTTTTGACCTAAAATACCTTGTCAGCTTCATCTGCTGCCGTAAATTACTTCTCCCTTTGGTGTCTAAAAATGTTCTCAGTGTCACAAAGGATCATTTCGGTACCATATCCAGACACACCAGCTATCTCATAACTGTCTACCTATCTTCCTTGTTTGCTATTTCAAGGGAAGTTTCTCCATGTCCTTTGTGAACAACAATTGTGCATTAGATTTGGCCATCTCTTGGAAAGATGCCAGGAGATATTCTTGACACTTAAACCCTTCGATGAGAGACAGTCAACATACAACTGAGAGAAATGGGCTTGTGACTAAAATAGTGGCCAGACAGTATAGTCGTGTGTTTAATTAGCAGTCAAGAAGGTTTGGTGTGAGTTTATTAACTGGGTGATACGAAGATCTGAGAAAAGCATGGGTTAGAATGAGAACTGGAGAAAGGGCATGCATAAATCTACTCCTGCCTGGAGAGGAACTGCCATTCTTTATCCTTTCTATTCCGGTCAGAAGGCACAAGATCTTGCCCCAGTGGGTCAGGCAAGACAGGGAAAGGAGCAACAAGAGAGGGAGACATGTGAGGCTGAGATGCCTGAAGCTGTTCCAACTGGACCAAGTCACCGTTTCAAAGGCAAGGATTTTCAACAAAATACTCTAAAAGAGCCTCAAAGACCAATGAACCGATTAGGCAAAGGAAGTAAAGACAGTATTTTGGAGTTTGGTACATTAGGAAAAAACCCAACCAATACTTGTAACCTGTTTATATGGCCATTGGTTTGATGTTTTGTTAAGTGATAAAATTGCCCAGACACTGTGTGGTCCCAGCTCAGTCGTAAATGACCAGCATCCCCGGATGAGCGCAGTCACCTGCAGCCATGTCAGTGCAATTGACAATTTACAAACCAGTGAGGGTTTCTTAGGAGTCTGTTCATCTCTCAATAGAACCAACCGCCTAGAGTTGAATTGTTTGGGCTATAAATAGAGAAATAGTGCACAGGACAGTTTCACCATTAAAGAGGAGAAGAACGTTAGATGGAAAAAAAGGAGCAAATTTTTTTTTTTGAGACAGAGTTTTGCTCTTGTTACCCGGGCTGGAGTGCAATGGTGCAATCTTGGCTCACTGCAACCTCCGCCTCCTGGGTTCAGGCAATTCTCCTGCCTCAGTCTCCTGAGTAGCTGGGAATACAGGCACGCGCCACCATGCCCAGCTAATTTTTTGTATTTTTAGTAGAGATGGGGTTTCACTATGTTGACCAGGATGGTCTCAATCTCTTGACCTCGTGATCCACCCGCCTTGGCCTCCCAAAGTGCTGGGATTACAGGCTTGAGCCACCGCGCCCGGCCAAAAGAAGCAAATTTTTATATCACTGCTTTAGAGGAACCTGGGTAGAGCCTTTGGAATATTTACCCAGTTAGCTTTGCAACTGGAAAAGAAAATAATGTTAGCAGTACCAGCATGTTCCAAATGCCTAGAATCTGCTGAATGTCATTTTATAATCTCTGGAGGTCAGAAAAAGAAACCACTGTGGGATATTACTCTTGTCAACCCTAATGGTAGTACAACAGACTGATAATCTATAAAGCAAACCACTGTAGTAACCTCCTGAGGTTACTAGCAGGGGGAGCACATGGTTCTGCGGAAACCAGCTGGGTACAGTTCAAAGCATTCACAAGCTCTTTATAAGGATGCCTTGCGTTATCAGTAGGGCCAAAAATGTCTCAATCAGTACACATTTCTACAACAATGACCAAAATCTTGGCTAAAATGTTCCTGAAATGTGCAGTAGACTATCCTCACAATTTTATGAATATGATGTGGAAGATTAGAAATTTTTCATTTAACTCTGTCTACCAGAAATATGTGTCCAAATGACTGGGTTAAAGCAGATTAATTTTGTTTTTGCTACACTGCATACATTCTCACAGATGTATTTTTTTAAAAACTTGCAGTCACATATTATTCCTATCAATATATGTCTTTATGTCTTAGCCATATTTACTTTTTCTGATAAAATTTAAACACTGATCAATTATGACACTCTGAGCAATACTGACTTCGCATACTGACCCTATTTGAATTATATATTTACACAATACAATTACTTATATAATTTTTATAGCTTTTTAAATTTCTTGACTAATGGGAACATTTTTAAAAAATTATTTACCTGCAGTAAAATTCACTCTTCCGGTGTTCAGTTCCAAGGGTTTTGATAGATGCATTGTCATGTAATGATCACTACATTTCTATTCAGAACAATCTCTCACCAAACGTTGCCTTTGTGATGCCCCATGTTGTCAGTCCTTTCATCCACCTGCTCACCCCTCCCCAAATCCTGGCAACCACAGTAGTTTTGCATTTCCCAGAATGTCATGTATAATATATCAGTAAGTCGGGGCCGGGCGCGGTGGCTCACGCCTGTAATCCCAGCACTTTGGGAGGCCGAGGTGGGTGGATCACAAGGTCAAGAGATTGAGACCATCCAGGTCAACATGGTGAAACCCAGTCTCTACTAAAAATACAAAAAATTAGCTGGGCATGGTGGCGCGTGCCTGTAATCCCAGCTACTCAGGAGGCTGAGGCAGGAGAATTGCCTGAGCCCAGGAGGCGGAGGTTGCGGTGACCAGAGATCGCGCCATTGCACTCCAGCCTGGGTAACAAGAGCGAAACTCCATCTCAAAAAAAAAAAAAAAAAAAAAAAAAAAAAAAAAATATATATATATATATATATATATATATATATATATATGTAAGTCATAGGCTATTTACCCGTTGGCACCATGCTTCTTTTGCTGAGCAAAGTGCACTGAAGATTATTCATGCTGTTGCTTGAATCAACAGCTCATTCATTTTTACTGCTGCATAGTATTCCATTGTATGCATAGAAAACATTCATATTCTATTAATAATAATTTCATTAAGGACATCTGGATTGTTTCCAATCAGCAGTGATTATAAATAAAGTTTTGATAAACATTTGTGCCCAGATGTTTCTGTGAAAATCAGTTTTCGCATGGCTAGGGTAAACACTGAAGACTGGAATAGGTGGGCCATATTGTAAGTGTAAGGGTAGCTTTGTAAAAAATTGCCCAACTGTTTTTTCACTATTGCTCTATCATTTTGCACTCCCACCAGTAGAGTAGGTGAATTTCATTTGCTCCAAATCTTTGTCAGCATTTGGTATCATCAGTGATTTTTTTGGGGGGTGTAATAACCATTCTAATATGTATATAATGGTATTTCATTGTAGTTTTAATTTGCATTTCCCTAATGGCTAATAAATTTGAGCATCTGTTTATGTGCTAATTTGTCATCTGTATATCTTCTTTGGTGAAATGTCTGTGCAAATATTTTGCCCATTTTCAAATTCTTGTTGAGTTTTGAGAATTCTTTATGTATTCTGGATACAAGTTCTTTGTCAGAAAGTGTTTTCTCTATTCTAATTCCTTTGCTTTTCTATTTATATTTTAGAATTGATGGTGGTATTTACAAGAAAATCTGATGGGATTTTGCCTGGGATTGCATTTAACCAATTGTTCAATTTAGGAGGACATCTTAACAGTATCAAGTCTTCTATTCCTCAAACACAGTTTATATCTCTATTTATTTAGATCTTCTTTGATTTATTTAATTGGCATTTTGTAGTTTTTAACATAGAAATCCTATATATTTTTAGATTTTCTTATACCTAAGTATTGTTGTGTTTTGGTGTTATCATATGCAAAGTTTAATTAAAAATGTTTTATTTCCAAATTTTCACCACTGCTATATACAAATACTGATTTTTGTATATTATCCTTGTATCCTGTAACTTTTCTAAAATTCATGTAATAGTTCTCAGAGTAATTTTGTAGATTTGAGAAGTTTTTAATATGGCTTTTTACACTGTCTCCCAGTACGATGTTAAATAGGAGTGGTAAGAGAATATTTTTGCCTTACCTGTGATCTTAAGAGAAATTATTCGGTTTTTCCTCAATAAGCATATGTTATTTAAAGAGATAAATAGATGCTCTTTATCAGGTAAGCTTCTGATAGGTAGACTCTTCATCAGGTAAACTTTGTCTATGGCCATACCACCCTGAACGCGCCTGCACTTGTCTCATCAGGTAAACTTCTATTCCCAGTTTACCACATTTTTTTTTTTAAATTATGAATCCCTGTTTCTGAAACTCCCATTGAGATGACTTTTTTCTTCTTAAGTATGTTATAGTAAATTACAATCACTGAATTTTTAATGTAGAACCAGTCTTGTATTCCCGTTGGAACAATTTTAATTCACAGAAATTATTTGTTCTTCTCATCACTAACTCTATTTACTTTCCTAAAGTGTGGAGATATGTATATATATATAATTCACACACACATACATATATGTTTTCATTTTATACTCATTAATTCCTTCAATTTAGTATTTATTAAACACAATATGTTGAAAATGTGGAATAGACCCAAGTGATAAAGGGGAAAATTATTCAGGCTGGAGGTATAACCAATAAACTCTGGGCATGGCGAGAAAGGGCATGCGAATCAGCGTGTGTGGTGAGTGAAGGCTTCTCTCAGGAGGTGGCTGGAGCTGAGGCTTGAAGGAAAGGGCTACATAAATGTAGTATGCCCTTTACCACCTTCGCCCCTTACCTAACATTACTTACCCAGTTCAAGGCCCTAAGGAGTGAGGAGGAACTCATCCAGCCCACCACAGTCGATTGGATCAGCGCAATCAATTTACTGCCTGGAACAAGGTATCTCATCCTCTTGCCAGTAATATGGGGAGTGGTCCAGTCCTCAGCGTTGGACTCCAAAGCAGGAGGCTACGTAGACACTGTGAGTTGGCTTCCACCTGTTGCTATGTGGAAGCTAAACAATAAACAGAAAAAATGAGTCTTTAATGAGAGGAGGAAGAGAAGAAAGAGGCAGGACTCTGAGGGAAGGGCGTGGAGAGCTGGCTCCTTAGAACCTGCTACTTACCTAGTTCCTGTAAGGTCGACTAAACTTCATTTTCTTAAGCTCATTGTTTGACTTTATCACAAATGTAACTTTTTATTTGGGCCAGTCAGGGAGGATTTCTGAGCCTCGAAAGCAAAAGAGCCTTGATTATATTGACATTTAATACCAGGGTTTGAGCCACCAGACCCTCCAGATAATGTGCGATTGACTGTGGACTTCATCAGGGTGGAAGGAAGCTGGGGAGGACTCAAGTTGGTGGGGAAGGCAGCAATAGGAGCTTGCTGGGACAAGATAGAGCACATTCCTCTTAATGCAAAGTTAAAGCCAAGTGTAAGCAGAGTGGGTGTGTTGGATATTGGACACTTTGCAGCTGTAAGCAAAGTGGAACAGCTCTCCGTCAGTGACTATTTGCCCCTGGATAAAACACATAGCTTCCTTCAAGTTTCTGTCCAGAAAAATACACCTATGACACTAACTACATGCCTATAATAAAGAATGATACACACCTAATGTCGATGCTGGGGGGATGGATGCAGCAAACCACCATGGCACATGTATACCTGTGTAACAAGCCTGCACAATCTGCACAGGTACCCCAAAACTAAAAGTATAATTAAAAAAATAAAAGAAACTGGTATCGGATGTTATAGACATTGCACTGTAAGTGTGATTTAGGCAAAACAATCAAAACGGCATGAAACTCTAAAAACTGATCACCCATCTGAAAGTGAAAACTAACAGAAAGAATGGTGAATAAATATTCTTAATAAAAACAAGATTTTTAAATCATAGATATGTCATACATATGTAATTTTAAAACTGGTTATCTAATTTAAGGAACTATTTTGATTAAAAATAATAATAGCTACAATTTTTAAGATCTTGTTTTATGTTAGTCATCGTGCCAAGAGCTTTCCTCGCGCTACCTCATTTAACCCTTACACATTTCTTATTAATTAGATATAATTACTTTTCCATTTTATAATCGAGGATATTTAGGTTGAAGCAATCAAGCAACGTGCTCAAGGTCACAAAACTAGTGGGTGATAGGGCTGAGTCTGCAACAAGGTTCTCATCTTCTGATGTAGTTTGGATATTTGTCTTTGATCAAATTTCCAATACTGGAGGTGGGGCCTGCTGGAAGGTGTTTGGATTACAAATAGTTTGGGCCATCACCTTGGTGATAAATGAGCTCTAGCGCTGAGTTCCTGTGAGATCTGGTCATTTAAAAGTGTATGGTGCCTCCCCCTACGTCTCTCTCTCTGTCTCTCTCTCTCTCTCTCTCTCACACGTTCTCTCTTGTCTGTCCCTGCTTTCACCATGTGGTACATCTGTTCCCCCTTTGCCTTCCACCATGAATGTAAGCTTTCTGAGGCCTCGCCACAAGGTGAGCAGATGCCCCTTGCCACTCCTCCTGTGTAGCCCACAGAACCATGAGCCAATTACGCCTGTTTTCTTAGAAATAATCACCCAGCCTCAGGTGCTTCTTTATGGCAATGCAAGGAGTGCCTAATACGTCTTTCACATCTTCTGAAGCACGAATAATAGTTACTTTTGTTTTCAGAATCTGCTGAACTCTAGAGTTCACGTGGACAATCCGAATTTAATATATTTCCTAAAGATTGGTCTTTTCCTTAATGTCTCCTTTAGACTTTAGACTGGGGCAGGGGGAGAGGTGTCAGAAAACCTTGTAGAGAGCCAGATGGTAAATAGTTGAAGTTTTGTGAACCTCCTTCATTAAGACTTAATTCAGGCATAATCTCTCTCTCTCTCTCCTCTCCCCACACTTCTCCTATCTACATTTTCATGATGCCTTCAGGCTAAGTTAAATGATCTTTCTCTGCGTTCCTATGCTACCTGTTTATACTTCCTTCCTGGCACATGTCATTTTGCATATTTTGTATAATGACTCACTTGTGACTGTCACTCCTCCAGATTATACATCTAGCAGAGATTCTAAATGTACTTGTCATAAATATTTCTTAATAAATGAATGTATGTGCAACACATTTGATTGAGAGCCAGCCTAGGCTAAGGTTCAGGCAGACAGATGATTTATTTACCAATGAATTTCAAATTTGAAATGTCTTGAAAAAACAGTTTTAATAAACAGTTAAAGCATAAATTAAACAGATTTAATAAACAGTTAAAGCATAAATATTCTGTTAGGAATAATTACCAATCTTACTTTAAAATAATGGGATTCAATTTTCTTCTTGTGCCATGTGTACAATATACGTATATCAACTAATACCAAGGTCTAATGGCATCTGTCTCTACAAAAAAGTTAATATAAAATGTCTAAAAGAATTCATCTCCTAGTCTCCTGGACTTAAAGTCACCCAATATATGCTCTTGTCTATACAGAGACATATGTCATAAGGATAAAAATGCATTTAGAAATTTCCATGTTCTTTCTCAATATAGAAATATGTTAGTTACCATAGCAACAAGTGTTATAGATTCACTTATTCTCTTTTTATTATTTAAAAAATGCAGAAGCTGAAATATTTTGTAATAAACTTTGCCATTGATGTCTAGGAGAATATTTTTGTGATCATCTAAGACACTTGAAAGAATATGTTAAAATGGTAATAGAAGAATCTTTCTTAATAAAAGTCATTGAACTATCATACACACAGAAAAACCCATCAAGTCACATATATTTCCAAATAACATGAAACCTACTGGAGTAGGGCAAATAATATTTTGTTTTTGCTATTTGTATGTGAAATAGTCAGATTTATTTTAAGAGAACAATACCTGAAATTTAGAAATATAAATATCACCCCTTAAATGCTGAAAGCTTTCATTTTTTATATATAATTTCCAATCACAAATGAGAATGTCTTATGTTTTTTAAATAAACGGTAAGTTAATGACCAAAATGTACCTCATTAAAAAACAATAACCCTTGAAGAAATTAAGAAAGACTCTGAAGGAAACGGCAGAACTGCAGATGTTGAAATGATAAGCACACTGTTATCATACTGGTTAGGATGTAGAATTTAAGTTGGTTTTACTAATATTGAATTGAAACATTCAGATACTCAATTAGGAGAATCACCAAGCAATACCGTTTTTCTAAAAGTCCTAAAATTATGTTCTATGCTTTCCTTTGTAGCTTTGGACTTAAAGCTTCACCTGAGTGCTCAGCTATGCTTGGATGCTTCACAGGTTCTGCAGGTCCCAAGCTGAAGTTATGATCCCCAATCACCCCTACCTGTTCTCCCTCCCAGCTTTTCCATCTCCATAAATGGCAGTGCACATAACCATGAGCTTCAGAAACACCAGAACCCTGTTACAGGGGCTCTTACAGGATCCTTCCTTCAGAACCACTCAATAAGCTGCCAATTATTTGTCTCCTAATTATTTTCTGAATTAGTTGTCCCATCTTCTTTCTGACTGCAGCTTTCCACCAGGAACCCCTCTGACCGGGCACAGTGGCTCAGACCTGTAATCCCAGCACTCTGGGAGGCTGAGGCGGGCAGATCACTTGAGGTCAGGAGTTTGAGACCTGCCTGGCCAACATGGGGAAACCCTGTCCCTACTGAAAATACAAAAATTAGCCAGGCATAGTGGTGGGCATTTGTAATCCCAGCTACTCGGGAGGCTGAGGCAGGAGAATCACTTGAACCTGGGAGGCAGAGTTTGCAGTGAGCCGAGATTACGCCACTGCACTCCAGCCTGGGCAACAGAAGCAAAACTCCACCTCAAAACAAAACAAAGCAAATCAAAATGAACCCCTCCCTCCCTCGTATATGAGTGACTATTGTAGTTTCCTCAGTGGTCTCTCTCTCTCTCTCTTCTTCTGGTCTTGGCTCCCATCTGTATCCTTCACAGAGTAATGGCAGAGCATTAATTTTAACAACAAACCCTCATTTTCTCTCCCAATCCCCTTCAATGCTCCCACTGACTAAAGACAACCAAAACTCTTTCACATGACATCCAGCTGGCCTCCGCCCTCCTCTCCACCCTCTTTCCTTCATCCTCCGAAGGGATGCCTAGGTCTAGTAATTTCACGCTGGTTATCATTGCTGCACATGAAGGCCTTTCTCACTTTTGCATCTTTGCTTGTGCAATCATTCTTTCCCGTCATTTTCTTTCCCACGTCCTTCCTCTGATTTTTTTATTTATCCTATTAAACACAAGCAGCACCTCTTCCAGGAGGCCTCCAGGATACCCCAGGTGAGTTCCCTGTCTCTCTGCCTCCACAGCAGTTGTTACTAATCTTTACCATAGCACCCATCACCCTATTAAATCTATGTGTGGGTCTTTGCTTTACTGCAACTGTTGCAAAGTCAGGAAGAGATCTTTCCTATGTTTGAATTCTCAGTGCATCTTGGCAGCAAACTTCTCTGATGTGGCAGAGTGGGGTGGCTTATGCCTGCGATCCCAGCACTTTGGGAGGCTGAGGCAGGCAGATCACTTGAGGCCAGGAGTTTAAGACCAGACTGGGCCATATGGCAAAACCCCGCCTCTATTAAAAATGCCGAAAATTAACTGGGTATGGTGGTGTGCACCTGTAATCCCAGCTACTCAGGAGGCTGAGTCACGAGAATTGATTCAACACAGCAGGGAGAGGCTGCAGTGAGCCGAGATCTTGGCACTGTACTCCAGTCTAGGTGACAGAGTGACACCCTGCCTCAAAAAAACAAAACAAAACAAACAAAAACTTCTCTGAGGAGAGAAGGCAAACCTTTTAACAGCATTAAATATTAGGCAATATAATTTAAGGTTATTGATATGATGTTAGTACTTCTGGTGTAGCTGTCTGCTCTTTTTCAATTAAGGAATTTTTTATTAAACAGTTCTTATTAGACATCTGATTTTGAACCAAAAATCAAAAAAGAAGAATATTGAAAAGAAGACAACATCAAGTTTTAAAAGGAAGACACCATTGCCTGTTCCTTGCAGAACAGACTCGAGCAGTTTCAGGATACTGGGAGTAACAGGCTGTGTAGAAACACCGAGCTCTAAACCACATGGCATCTAGGAGGAAACAACACTACTGGGTACTAAGGAAAGAGGGAAAAATAAACCCCAAACCTTTAGGTTCTGCTGTCTCCAGTGATGAGCTGACTGCTTGCTAGCCTGAGCTCCCAGGTCATGGGGACGCATTCCACACCCCCTCAATCCACTGGGCACCACTGAGTGTTTGAACAGACATGGCCAGATGTGGTGTTTACACTGCATTCCAGAGGCAGGATGGCATTACATTGGATTCTAATGGCTCAGACAGGTAAGTGTGCCCCACCGAACACCGCACTTACCAGAAGGAAATGAGTCGTACAGTAGGGACCACTCTTCATCAACAGTGTGAGTTGAAGGCTTTTGTGGGCTCCTGTGGGCTGAGATGTTCAGACGATGGCTTTCCAAACAACACACGTCTTACTCAACCTTTGCAAACGAGGGCCAACGGAATTCTGAATCGGAGGAGGAGTTAACGTCATCCATTACAGTCATCCATGTGCTTGCTTGGAAAATATATTGCTGTGTGTGCAGGGAAGGGCTGCATGACTGGGCATTTAGTGTGATAACCATTCGTGCTTTGCAAGGGCAACACAAAAAGCAGCTTTTTAGAGGGTTTGCCGGTCTCTGATGGCTTCACAAATATCAAGGATGACATTTCCATTAAAAATGGCCCAAATACTTTCATTGCATTATAAGAACCTCAGACTTCAGAAAGAAGCCAAGATGTCTCTCTGCCTCTTCCGGTTGACCAGCAGCCGCTGTCTAAATGGCTGAAAGATGTGATGGGATTTCATACACTTCAACTGGTGATTCTAGAAATGAAACACAAAAAATACTAATAACACTTTTCTGCCTGAAAATGAATATATACATTTATATTCCCCTGTGTATTACTAAATTGTTGAATTTCTAGGAGGGTTAATATGTGTTATCTTTGATAGAAACAGCAATTACAATAATGGGCACTCGCATAACATGTCATGTTTTAGAATGTTCTCCCTCACATTCTGATTTGATTTTTATAACTCCTCTGTGAAATAGAGAGGCATTCCATTATTTTCATTTATTCTACACATTGGGAATCTGTAGATAAGTTAGGTAGAAAAGTTAAGAATATGCACTGAATTTCTGATCCTTGATGATCACCTGCTTTTGAGAGGCACGCAGTCTGAGTTAGACAAAAACTTGGTACAAAACTTGGGTGTAAGAAAATGTGAAATATTAGATTCTCATGCATGTATTCTGCTATGTTAGTTCGCTATAAAAGTCACAATTCAATCTCTAGGATCTATGACAAGGAGAACACCATGTGGTTGATCAAGAGGACTGAGTGAACTATCCTGAAACTTAAATATTTCATCATAGATATTGGTCACGGATAATGAACACAACTAGCCACTGAGAGCAAGAAAGCTCAGTGGTGCCCTGGTTCAAGAGGCACAGAAGATTCTGGAGTTTTCCCAGTGACCCCGGCACTGTGCAGAAGCTGTGGTCAGAGCAACGATGACAGAACACAGAAGAGGATTCAAAGGTGAATGGTATTGTGAAGCAACGGACGGCTAGGATTTGGGCTTGGTTTTGCAGAGCTCTGCTTCTCTCAACTGCATGTACTTAGGAAGCACAGTTGGATCTTGTTAAATTCAGATTAGAATTCAGCAGATCTGGGGGAGGCCTAAGCATCTGCATTTTTGGCAGGCTCCTGGGTAATACCATGGCTACTGGTCCACAGACCAGCTTTGAGTAGCAAGATTATAAACAACCACACCAGGAACCTACCTTACCTCTAACCCCAGTTCAGCCACCTCTACTTCTTGGCTTACAAATCCCAAGAGGTAGCGTATGGGATGGGAATGGACTATTCTCCACTGCTTTATTTTACCAGTTGTTTATCATCACCCTAGAGAAAATATGACCTAGTGTCTGCTGCTCAGATGCCATTCTAATCCATTGCAGAGAGAGAAATACAAGTTGTGAACGTAGAGGCTGTGTATCCACAATAAAAACATGTTTCTAAAATCCAAAACGAGCAGTCAAAATATGCAGGTATTTCTGAGGGATAAAGCTTCATCCATCATGCAAAGAGGTGACCAACATATTTCCTTTCTTGTTGTTGTTTAGAAAACAGTAGAATAGACCCGTGCCTTTGCAAGTAGAAAACCCCCTTCGTGGACTATGCTGTCCGCAGCTCCAAATCCTAGTTCAACACATGCTTTTGCTCACGATGGCTCCGTTTACAAGTGGCAGAGCTGAGTCACAGTGATCTCTGTGGCCGCACGATACATTTGTCTATGCATGTGGATATTCTAATGTATTCTCTAATGAAGATCTTGTTTTAAGATCATCTGAGATGTTTTCCCCTCATTATTATGTACAGTAGACTTTTATTATTCACAGATTCCCTATTTGTGAATTTACCTATCACTAAAATTTATGTGTAAACCCCCAAATCAATACTCACTGTCGCTTTTGCAGTTTGCCTACAAATGTAGGACCACCAAAAAATCTGAGGTTGCCCAAACGCCTTCCCAGGTGAGGTTGAATAGGCACGAGGTGACATGGTACCTCTGTGTCTCAGCTCTCATGCTGTGAACAGTGTCCTTCTAGTGGTCTATTTAGAGCTATAGTTTTCATGCGTTCGTGCCTTTTGTTAGTGATTTTGCTGTTTCAAACATTACCCCTAAGAGTAATGTTGAAGTCTTATCTAGTGTTCCTAAGTGCAAGAAGGCTGTGATATGCCTTTTGGAGAAAATCTGTGTGTTATATAAGCTCTCTTGAGCTATGAGTTTTGGTGCTGTGGGGCATGAGTTCAACGTTAATGCATCGACTACATATATGCTATATATCTGTTAAAGAGCTTTAATCAAGAACATACACAAAACAAGGCCATGTACTGATGAGTTGATGAAAATGTGGTGATCAGACACTCGTAGGAACCTTAGGCCCGTATTTCTCCTAGCAGCAAGGGTTCAGATTTGCTAATTTAGTGTTTGCAGTGACGTTACAGAATATAACTACTGTGAATAATGAGAATTGATTATAGTTGCATATATAACAACCTATAGATTCAAAGACATCAAGTAACTTGGGATTAAGCATATGGGCTCTGAGTGCAAATCCCAGGTTTACACTTTACTACCTGGAGCACTTCGGCTTCCATCTCCTCCTCTGCAACTATCCCTCATTCATAAGACGGTGATGACGTGTAAAGGAACTGGTGCTTCCACAGAAAGTCACACATGGGGCACACTTAGAACAAGATCTGGGCAGACAGCAAACACTTGATAACATGAGCTGCCACTATTGTTGATCATTTTATAGAGCATGAAACATCATAAATCTCCAGAAAAGTACATAATGTCACACAAGAAGCAGCTGAGATGAGGTAAGAACACAGTCTTGAGTTTAACCCCAAATTCACAGGGGAAGCCATCCAAGAGCGGAGTGAGATGTGTCTGGAACATGTATACAGCATGTGGCTGGCCACTGCCCTAAATATAAAGTTATGGACTGTGTGCTGGGAGGCAGGATGGGATGGGCCATTCAACAAGGGACGGGAGAAGGGGTGCCTTTGTGTGACTGCAGCCATTTCAGGTGTCAGATCTCAGATCCCTTGGTTTTGCAGCTTTTTATAGAAATGCCTGTGGAAACATAATGGTAGACAGGGGTGACCATAGTTCAGCATTTCAGACATATCATCTTTTCTCTCCAGTGCTGCAGGGGTTATGCTACAAATTGAAAGATCTAGCTACACGAAAGGGAGCTGACACGTTGAGCCAGGAAGTCTTTTCTTCTGCAGAAAGCTCTGATCTTCGAGTTAGCCAATCTGGAAGGGGCGGATTTGACAAGAATAATTCCACATTTTGCACTTGCAGGGACTGCAGGCAAAACAAGAGAATGAGGACCACGTCCCCGATTGAGGAGCTAGGGAAATAAAAACCCCGTAAAACCCAAATGTGAAACTGGGATAGAGATAGGAGAAATTGGACGTAAGACATGCCTGGCACTGCCTACCTCTGCCAGTGGGGTAGCTTCAGGCTTGGAGTTGGGAGTGGGCTCCTTGGAAGGTACCCATTTTAATCACTACTCTCTGCACTGTGCTAACACATGCCTTCATTCTGATGTAGCATCCTACCCCAGAGAATGGGGCCACTGTGCTGCTTTTAGAAGCAACCTCTTAAAACTACTCACCCACTTGCAAGAGGGAAGGCACTGAAAGGTGGATTGCTTGCTTTCTGGTATCCTAAGAATGGTGGTGTGGACGGAACAGAGGTTTTGCTAAAGATGAAAGAGGAAAGGGAAGTCATTTCCAAGAAGAGAGCTAGTAAGATGCCAGAATATTTGGAGTCAGTGTTTTAGGCACCCAATGGGGAGCTAAAGATAAAAAAGAATACTACATAAGAGTTTTATAAAAACAACCTGTGAAGGAAAAAAAAAAAAAAACCAGTTGTTACTGTGGGATGGGCACTGCTCTTCTAGAAAACACAAAGGCTTTCTTTCACTTAATGCCCTTAGCATTCAGTCCTAGGAAGCAGGTCTGAATTCCCTCATTTTACTAGAAGAAAAACAAGCTCAGCAAAATTTTAACACTTACTCAGAATGATACAAGTTGTCAATGGCAGAGAACAGATTCAAATACATATCTGTAAGATTTGAAAGCTTGGGCTCTTTGCACACAGAAACCCCACAAAGAGCAACAATAAAAGCTAATATTTATCAAGCACTTTCTAAGTTCCAAACACTTCTTTACAGGTTTTATATGCATCAATTAATTCAGTCTTCACAGCAATATGATTTATGCACAATTATACCTACTTCATGAATACAGAGCCCGAGACTTAGAGAAGGTAAGCAACGTGTTAATAAGTTACTTTTAGAGCTCAGAAAAGAGACACCTTTGAGGGACAACTGCCAGGGGTAAAGAGAGATTTTTACTAACATTTGAACTGGTATTTACACAAAGTCTCGATGTGTGGGTATTGGGGAGGGGCAGGAAGATAATGCCTCATTCCTAAGACTGTGGTAAAGTACAAAGGAATTAATGCACCCATGGCAAGTCACACATGGGGTACACTTAGAATAAGATCTGGGCAGACAGCAAGTACCCAATAATATGAGCTGTCACTATTGTTTATTATTTTATAGAGCATGAGACATCAGAAAGCCCCAGAAAAGTGCATAATGTCACACGCTGAACTGTAGAGAGCGGACGCTTGATTACTGTGAGGACTCGTGTCTCCACCATGTTGTCACTGGGAAAATGAAGAACGAGCTAAGTCAGAGCAGAGGGACTGGAGGAAACAGTCTTACATAAAGAAGGTGAGAAAAATCAGGCCGGGTTACTGGGAGGGAAGAGAGGACCCCAGCGTCTTTGCAGCTCAGCACAGTGGCACTAAGCAAGATGCCTGCCACGAGCCAGATGCAGGACAGGAGGTGGGTAGGTGGGGGAACGTAGTCCTTGGAAAGTCGTCTCACTGCAAAGCCAAAGAAGTGGGTCTGAGGCCCACTCAGAAGAGGCCTCCATTTTCCCAGGAGCTGAAGTTTGGAAGAAAAGAGCTCAGGGCAGCCTGGAGGCTGGGAGTGTATGGAGCAGGTGCCGTAGCCTCACAGACTGGGCATAGGCCTGGAGGTCAAGGGCACAGAGAGGTCCCCAGAGGGCACCTGCTGCACAGAGCTAAGGAGTAGCATGGGGCAATGGCCCCCTCAATGACTTGTCCCCCATCCCCTGAGAGGCCATGGGGACAGCTCAGGCACAGCCTGGTCACATGCTGGACCAAAACTCCTAAAGGTAGAAGAGGCACTCGCCTGGACT